CAGGGCAGGAGCCACTACCGAGAAGGCCCTCTGCCTGGTTCCCTGTAACCTTACTTCTCGCAATGGTTGAAGGCATTTCTTCATATAACCAGGTCTCAGGCTATTTAGGGTTTTTAAAGCCAACAATATGAACTTGGTCTGGAAGCTAATGGACAGCTGGCGCTGCTCTTTCAGCAAAGGAGTTAGACTTCAAGGGAGGCTACCCCGTTTAGGAACTTAAATGCTTCCTTTTTGCACAAGCTGCAGCTTTGAGACCAACTGTAAGGGCAGCCCCGCAGAGAGTCCATTTACAGTAGCCAAGTTTTGAGCTTACCAGCACAGGGATCAATCAGATATCTATGAGAAACCCGCAAGCAGGATTCAAACACCATAGCACTCTCTTTTTCCGTGGCTTCGAGCAACTGCTACTGAGAAGCATTGCTGCCTTTGATCATGGAAGCAGAGACTAGCCATTATGGCTAGTAGCCACTGAAAGCCCTCTCCACCTCCATGAATTTGTCCAATCCTCTTTGAAAGCCATCCAAGTTTGTGGCCATCGCTGCCTCCATGGCTGGTACAAGGAACACACCTAGACTATATATACCTGTGACTTAAGGGAGAGCACAACAGGCAGAATACCCAATCCCAGAAACAAAGCACCCACAGAGCCTCCAACCAGGTGAAATTCAGTTCAACTTTTTGACCCTCAAAAATCCTACTACTGTGTCCAGGCACCACGTTGGCACTTAGATGTCCACATCTGATTCAGGTGTAACAGAGAGATGGAGCAGGGGTTCCCAAAACATATGAATGGCACCACAATCTCAATCTCCTAATGGTCACACCCAATGGCTACATATGCAGTGCTGGAGACAGACTGGAACTCTGAGGCATCACGCAACTCAACACCAGTGAAGGCGGTGAAGGTCCTGTGTGAGTGCCTGGAGGCAGTTGGAGGATGGATGGTGGCTAACAGATTGAGGTTGAATACTGACAAGACAGAAGTACTGTTTTGGGGGGACAGGAGGCGGGCAGGTGTGGGGGACTCCCTGGTCCTGAATAGGGTAACTGTGCCCCTGAAGGACAAGGTGCGCAGCCTGGGAGTCATTTTGGACTCACAGCTGTCCATGGAGGCGCAGGTCCATTCTGTGTCCAGGGCGGCTGTCTACCAGCTCCACCTGGTACGCAGGCTGAGACCCTACCTGCCTGCAGACTGTCTCGCCAGAGTGGTGCATGCTCTAGTTATCTCCTGCTTGGACTACTGCAATGAGCTCTACGTGGGGCTACCTTTGAAGGTGACCCGGAAACTGCAATTAATACAGAATGCGGCAGCTAAACTAGTGACTGGGAGTGGCCACCAGGACCACATAACACCTGTCCTGAGAGATCTGCATTGGCTCCCAGTACGTTTCCAAGCACAATTCAAAGTGTCGGTGCTGACCTTTAAAACCCTAAGTAGCCTCAGTCCAGTATACCTGAAGGAGCGTCTCCACCCCCATCGTTCACCCCAGACACTGAGGTCCAGTGCCAAGGGCCTTCTGGCAGTTTCCTCCCTGCGAGAAGTGAGGTTACAGGGAACCAGGCAGAGGGCCTTCTCAGTAGTGGCGCCCGCCCTGTGGAACACCCTCCCTTCAGATATGAAGGAAATAAGCAGCTATCTTATCTTTAAAAGACATCTGAAGGCAACCCTGTTTAGGGAAGTTTTTAATATTTAATGCTGTATTGTTTTTAACACTTGATTGGAAGCCGCCCAGAGTGGCTGGGGAAACTCAGCCAGATGGGCGGGGTATAAATAATAAATTATTATAATATTATTATTATTAACAGCCAGGGTGTCTAGCTACACTGATCCAATGCTCTCCCTTGAACGGAACCTGCATATAGGAGCAGAACCACAGAACTACGGTGGCCCCCAGTTCCAAGCCACAGAGACAGTCTGTCAAGATGCCCTGGTTGAGGGCATCAAAAGCTGCTAAGAGACCAAGCAAGAACAACAGGGTCACACTCACAGAATCACATAATTGTAGATTATTGTAGACCCCCCAAGTTTAATCCCCTGTAATACAGGAATCACAACTAAAGTACCCCTGACATGTGGCAATCCACTCTTCCCAAGAAAGAGCATCTATGTATGAACACATGTGATGGACATGACTGCCAACAAAACTTGTGTGTGCTTCCTGTTCACATGTTATGTTTGCAAGTTTGAACTTCCAATAACTGTTTTAGGAGAATACCTATAAAATATGTAATGTGTGAATCAATCCCGTACTTGCATTAGAGAAAGATGCCCTTCTCCAGGGACTTCTCAGTGTGATTCCTAATGGGATGCTGTTCTTTGGTCAAGAGACTCTCTATATGCCCACCTTTGAGATGTCCTTAGTTGTTTTGGGTAAAGTGGGTAAGTGAAGCGGATGACCAAAGGGAGAATAGATGGTATGGATCTGGGAGAGTTTGTGAGGTCCTGTGCTGAACTAAAACTTCTGAAATGGGAATAGATGCAATTCTAAGATGTACTGAAAGAGGAGTTCTTGACTGCATTCAGATACAGTATAAGAATAAACTATAGAAACAAGTTACAGTGAGTCTTAGCTTAGTTCTGCCTACTTTCTCCTTCTTAAACACAGCCACAAGGAGATAAGAAGCTTTCACTTCCAATAGTGTTTGACCACAGTTTAGTGTTACATCCCATCCCTGAACTTTAGTTCAACTATGGTTTGTTTTCTCTTATTCAGATCAATACAACAAGAATAATAGTACTGAAAAGCAGCCCGGTATAGCCAGAAGATACATAATGTTAAGAACTTAAGAGCATCAGGAAAGCCAAATTTCACACTGCACTGTGGAAGTTCTAGGTGGCTCAATTTGTTGCATATAAGACGAAATCTCACCAAACAGCACAAAACTTTTCAAGGTCCTCCAAACCTTTGGCAACATCCAATTTATGAGGGGTTTTTTTGCTGACTGGCCACAGTTTAGGGTTACATTCAGACCTTGAACTTTGGTTTGTTGATGCAAGCCAGTTTCACAAACCTTAATTGGACGTTCACTTGTTTTAACAGGCCACAGTTGAGACCAAGTAGGGTTTGTGCTTAATCAAAAAGCGAAAGTTTTCAATATTCTCACAGTGGGGGGGGGGAGTAGCATGCAAGACTCTGATGCCTTATTGCTCTTACAATTGCTATCTACCAATTCAAGCAGAGAGAAAAAAAAGAGAGGAGCAGTTAAGGCAGCGGTTCTCAACCTGTGGGTCCCCAGATGTTGTTGGACTACAACTCCCATCATCCCTGAGCTCTGGCCTTGCTAGCTAGGGGTGATGGGAGTTGTAGTCCAACAACATCTGGGGACCCACAGGTTGAGAAAGGCTGAGTTAAGATGAGGGAGAGCATTTTCACTTTTCTCACCTGGCTACAGAGCAAAAACTGTGGGGGGGAAAGCAACATGGTCACCATTGTTTCCTGCACAGACACACCACGAGAAATGCTGCTGTCCTCAAAACTTAAATTCCTAGAGCACTTTAATCCCACAATGCAAGGCCCGGACTTTTGGGAAGGCGTTAGGCTTTGGGCCTGCCATGGACTCAGGCAGGCACAGACAACACTGTATCTTTAAAGCCACTTCAGTGCAGATGTTTCCATGGCAACTAGTGGACCAAATACATTAGTGTTTCTAATAATAAACCAAACCTTCATCTCGGGAAACCTGCCTTCCCCAGTGCCCCCTCTCCTCCCCTCGCCCCCATCTCTCCTCACTACCTTTTAGATTTCCCCCTCCCTCTCCCGCGATGAGCCGCTCTTCACAAAGTGAGGGAGGAGGAAGGAGAGAGCGGCCCAACGGGCCTCACAAGACCTGAAGCTCAAGATGATGGCCACCGAGAGCATCGTGGGATTGGTCCTCGATGGGAGCAGTTCACCTAGGGACCCGGAACAGGGTGAAAGTCAACTGAAAGACTGCAAAAAGGGGTTTGGACCTGAGAGAAAACAAATCAAATAAAGGCATCTTTCCTTGTTTTCCTCTTTTACAAAGTCCCAGCAAAACTCATAAACGCCAATAATTCATGCCCTGACCAGGTGGTCCTCCTCCACGACAGCCTAGTTTTGATAACAAAGAAGCCACCATCTACCTTCTCCCTCTTTACTTGTGCAAGAGCATGCGAGGCAAATCCTTTGACAAGCGCCAATACACCCTTTTGACCCCATTTTGAGGCGCTGCTAAGAAGGCATCAAAGTAACTGGAAGACAAAGCTGCCGTGACGCTCCGAAATCACAAAAGAATGTCCCCGAGAGGCGTCCCGGAGGGTTTGAGGAGCCGGGGAAAGAGCAAAAGGTGCCAGGAAGATTCCTGAATAGGATCGACCAACAATACTATATGAATCCGTAGTGGAAGGCCTGAGATTCAGAAGCATCCAAAGTCACAGATCTCCTCGCTCCACATCCCATCCACTCACTCTCTCACCAAACCTCTCCCATCTCTCTCTAATAGTCCAGGCAACTGGCCGAAAACTGCAGGTGACATAAGTGGGGAAAGGGGTCAGTTAGGGGTACCCAGTAGCCAGCACTGATGGAGGGGGAAAAAGAAGAAGGATGTTTTCAGGCAGCGAAAGACAATGGTGACATTTCAATGCTGCAATGATCTTGAACCAGATATTTTATTGTTGTTATTTAGGTCACAGATTCTCAAAGACACATGTCAGTCGCTTTCTGACAACGGTGATGCTTATTGCAATGTGCGCGCACACACACACACATGCACAAGCAAACAGACATGCAATATCCTTGCCATGCACACCCAGACGGAGACTCACACGCGAGTGCGCACACCCAGCCTTGCACGGCACTGCTTGTCACACTGAAATGTCATCCGCTGGACCATTTCCTTTGCTTCTCTCTCTCTCTTTCTTTCTCTCTCTCTCTCTCTCCCCGCCTCCTTCTCGGCACACACACACACACACACACACACACACACACACATGCCAAGACTTCATTCCTTTGGATGCTGCACAGCCGGTGAGGCACACTTACCATTTCGGCACTCAGCTGGGCTAAGATGGCGAAGGTGGAGATTCTGTCACACAGGCATTTAGTTCGGAAAGGATCGACCGGGACTGTTCGGCAGCCACGCCAGGACCAGGCGCCAAGCTGAGACGAAGAGGAGGAGGAGGAGGAGGAGGAGGGTCTGTGAAGGGAGGGGGAGGGGAGCCCAGTGCAGAGGGAGAGAGCAAGAGAGAGGCAGAGAGGGAGGGAGAGAAAGACATGCACACACACAGAGGGAGAGAGAGGGAGAGACAGGAGGGAGAAAAAGAAAAACAGGCATCACTAACAAATTGCCAGAGGGAGAGAGAGAGAGAGAGAGATAAAAAAAAAAAAACCAGGACAGCAGCAGCAGCCAACCCCCACGTGGCCCTCCCCACCATATGACACCCCCTCCAGTGACACATACCCAGTGCCTTCCCACACACCTGGGACATCACTCGTGGCAGGCTTCATCAGCACAACCCCATGCTAAACTTCCCCCCTGCTGAGGCATGGCTCGTGATCCCCCCCTCCTTTGAAAGATGCACCCGCCCACTCCCAAATAGCCTCTGATCCATAATGCTCTCCCTATATGGCCCGCTGTGGCTGAACCTGCCCCAATGGGCTCAGAACTTCCTCTTCTTTGCGATGACTGCCCCATTGCTCACACGGAGTGGACGTCACAGCAGAGGAGATGGACCACAATCTCCCCACATGCTCATCAGTGATACACATGGACAGCCCTTGCATGCGCCCATAGCATCACCCCCTGGCATGCTCAATTTTCACTTTATTTCCCCCAAAGGGATGGTGTGCTTCCTTACCAAACTCAATCCAGCTGAAGACCTTCACTGGAGTCCATACACCTGCCTTCCAGCTGACCAGGACACCTCTCACGTTCTGCGCCACCAGCAACAACAACACCATGCTGCACTTTCACGAAGACTCTTGGTGTCAAAACAACCTGAAACTCAGCGCCGAGCAGACGGCTGCTCTCTCTCCCACTACCCCGAGCTAGCATGCGCCGGCACACGCATGGCCTTCCCATGCTCACACACCCTCAGCCACAGCTGTCCACACACCCACAGCTATTCTACATTGAAAAGATGCTGCAGGGAGAGAGAAAATTGCAATGTTGCGCAGTGGGGAAATGGACTTGCTCAGTGCACTCCTTTGGAATTTGCAGCCAACCCTGCTTTTCGGCTAAGCAGGAGATGTGCTTGTCTTGAAAATACCTGTTGGACTTATTCGCGCATCATTTGTGGATGCGCATTTCAAATCCAGCAGGCCCATATTCACATCATGCATTTGAAGCTTTGAACTGTCACGGCGTGTCCCCAACAAAAGACTCCTGTGAGCTGTAGATTCTTAAAGGGCACTGGTGATTTTTAGGAGATCCCTATTCCCCTCCAAGAACTACAATTCCTAGAGTGGTTTAACAGTCAATGCCACTTGACAGGGAACTCTGTGAATTGTAGTTCTGTGAGGGGGACAGGGCATCTCTTCACAGCTCTTGCCACCTTAACGAACGGCAGTTCCCAGAATACTTTGGGGGATGCCAGGACTCTTCACAGTGTCTTAAATGCAGGGTGAGAATGTGCTTCAACAGCACATCTAATAATTGGACTGTGTGACGTGACCTTCACCCTTAAATAACCCTAACCCTTCCCTAAGGGGTTAATTTCTTGGGGGGGAAGGGAAGGGGGTTCTCCACCCCCATCGTTCTACCCAGACACTGAGGTCCAGAGCCGAGGGCCTTCTGGCAGTTCCCTCGCTGCGAGAAGCCAAGTTACAGGGAACCAGGCAGGGGGCCTTCTCAGTGGTGGCACCCACCCTGTGGAACGCCCTCCCACCAGATGTCAAAGAGAACAACAACTACCAGACTTTTAGAAGACATCTGAAGGCAGCCCTGTTTAGGGAAGCTTTTGATGTTTGATGCATTACTGTATTTTAATATTTTGTTAGAAGCCGCCCAGAGTGGCAGGGGAAGCCCAGCCAGATGGGTGGGGTATAAATAATAAATTATTATTATTATTATTATTATTATTATTATTATTATTAGACATCCTGAATCTCAAGAAATGTACACCAAAGAATAACTTCTTTATATGGGACTCTTAACTTCATCACCATCATGCATAGCTTGCCATGCAGAATGTTCCTTCCAAGACATAGTGCCAAACTTTCTCTCGATGCTTCCAATGGAAGACTTCCAAAGTCCTACAGAGTCTTCCCCACATGGCATGTTCTGGTCTGCATAGCTCTCATATGGATGCAGATGCAGAAAGCCTCCTTCATTTCCCCCAGAGTTTTGCTTTTCCGCCTCTGCTGTCACAGAACTGCATTTCCATGATGTATAGCGCCAGCTTTCACACTTCCTACTTTCAGGGAACCAGGGCTGAGCTGAAATCTATCAGAAGACATTCATTCTCCCGACCTTTTCTTTTTCCTCCCTTCATTTATTTTGTGATGGACCTAACTTTCTTCTTACGTTGCTAGAGTCGGTGGAGGATGAAGAATGGTGGCCAGAGTGCCATTCAAAACATGTTTAGGGGAAAAAAGGAAATGAGCTATGGAAACTATGGAATTTGGTCCCACAGGGGACAGTAATGGTCACCAACTTAGATGGCTTTAGAAGAGGATTAGGCAGATTTATGGAGGAGAGGGCTAGTGATGGCTCCTTGCCATGATGGCAATGTTCTGTCTCTACAGTTGGTCTCTAAGGTGATTCTGAATACTAGTTGCTGGAAACCACAGGAGGGAAGACGGCTCTTGTGTTCGAATCCTGCTTGTGGGATTCCCATTGGGGCAACTGGTTGGCCAATGTGAGAACGGCAGACTAGATGGACGGTGGCCTGATCCAGCAGCCTCTTCTTATGCTCTTAAGTTCTTAAGATGTGCTCCTGCCACTTTAATGATGAGCTCCACCATCGTGAAATTGATGGAGGGTTATCCTCCCTCTAGGAGGAAAAAAAAAAGCTTTCTCCCAATTTCTCTCCCTGCAAATATGCTGGAAAATTTCCACAGGCTGTTTGCACAACAGAGAAACTTTTCCTAATTCCACGTGGTCTGCTGAGCACTAAGGCACCCCGAAGCACCTGCCATGCTATCCTGTATCGGAAGCTGTCAGAACATTGGTCCACTTAGCTCATTACTGCCCACACTGATTGGCAGAGGATCTCCAGGATTTTAGGCAGGGGGCATCATCTGGAGAAGGTGGGGATTGAACCTGGCACCTTCTGGATGCAAAGCAGGTGCAAAGTTACAAGAAAGGAGATTCCAACTAAACATTCGGAAAGACTTTCTGACAGTCAGAGCTGTTCAGCAGTAGAACAGGCTCCCATGAGAGGTGGTGGACTCTTCTTCCTTGCTGTTGTTGTTGTTTAGTCGTTTAGTCGTGTCCGACTCTTCGTGACCCCCTGGACCAGAGCACGCCAGGCACTCCTGTCTTCCACTGCCTCCCGCAGTTTGGTCAAACTCATGCTGGTAGCTTCAAGAAACACTCTCCCACCATCTCGTCCTCTGTCGTCCCCTTCTCCTTGGGCCCTCCATCTTTCCCAACATCAGGGTCTTTTCCAGGGAGTCTTCTCTTCTCATGGGGTGGCCAAAGTCTTGGAGCCTAAGCTTCAGGATATGTCCTTCCAGTGAGCACTCAGGGCTGATTTCCTTAAGAATGGAGAGGTTTGATCTTCTTGCAGTCCATGGGACTCTCGAGAGTCTCCTCCAGCACCAGAATTCAAAAACATCAATTCTTCGGCGATCAGCCTTCTTTATGGTCTTCTTCCTTAGAGGTTTTTAAATAGTGGTTGAATGGCCATCTGTTATGGATGCTTTAGCTGAGATTCCTGCATTGCAGGGGGTTGGACCAGATCACCCTTTGATCTGGTCTGTCAACTTTTCCCCCTTTTAAAGGGAAATTCCAAATAGGATTCCTCGCAAGAAAAGGGAAAAGTCGACAGCTATGTTTTGGGTCCCTTCCAGCTCTAAGATTCTACCAGTGAGCTCTGCACATTGCAGAGGATTGTGGGGCAAATTTTGAATGTTCAGTTACTCTCAAGAGTCTCACAGGTTCCCCGTGTGACTTAGGTCCTCATCAGTTGAGCTGACAGGAGACCCATGAGTTCATCTTTGGTGGGTTTTGTGAAAAACTGCTCCCCCTCCCCAACAATTTGAAGGAGGCCCATGACACAGACTTGCCATGTTTCTGTCCTGAATTTTCCATCCCTTGCTGCTGTTTGCCTAAGCAGCCTCAGAACCCGGCCTTAATCCAAAAGGATGGCCAGCACCTCAGATGCCTTCATAAGAGGAACACACACATTCGTCATGGAAGATGGGGCTATCACTGACTACATGAGACTATGGCTATTCTCTGCCTCCACTGCTAGAGATAGGCAGGAAGAGTGATGATATGCTCACATCCTTATTATGAGTTTTCCATGGGGAAATCTGGTTGACCAGGATGCTCAATTAGATTGACCTTTGCCCTGACCCAGCATCTGGGATTTTTCATTTCCTTATGATCCCACCCAGGGGCATTTTGCCTTTGAGATAAACCCCACGATCGTGGAACCCCTGCAGTCTGCTCTAGTTTGGCTTCAGAAGAGACCCCCAGACACACTCCACAGTTCTGCACATTGGTAGAGATGTCTAATGGAGATGCAATTGAGGGAAGCTTGCCCTCTGTTACTGAACTTCTGATTTCCGGTTCCCCAATAGGCTTCTCGGGAACCAGAGCATTTCCCAGAAAACCATTTCACGAACACCAGCATGTGCAAAGATTATGAGAACCAGCCTAGGCAAAGACTACCCTGTCCCTGTTCCCCTCACAGAGCTGTTTAGCAAACAATCCCTCACCCAGCACGGACCCTTCCAGCTGAAGCGCAGAGATTTAGAAGACAAAGCTTCCAAAAAGAAGGACAGGGCCCTATAAACAGACAGTGAAATATATGTTTGTGCAGTTGTGTTGATATTATGCAATAGAATGTGCATTGAATCTAACTTCAGCAGGGAGAAGGTCAGTTCCTCCCCCCCCCCGGAAAGCTTAAGGTAGCCTCCCTTATTAAAGCAGGACGCGGCCGGGGATCTCCCTCTTTGCCACTTACCAGCTGTTCAGAGTTATGGGTTTGAGCCCCACACTGGGTGAAAGATTCCTATGCTGCAGAG